CGCGAGTGGTGCCCCGAGCTGCTGTGGCCACAGGCACACGCTGGCCAACCCCCGGGCTCAGGGACAGCACTGATGCACTGGAGACAAGGCCTTCCGTGAGCAGAGCCCAGCGTGGACGGAGGCCAAGATGGGTCTGGGTGCCCACGATGTCAGCAGGGATGCCACACAACTTCGCCACACACTTCGGGACACCCTCATCAGGAAGCTCCAGGACAGGGGATGGACAGCGGTTCCTGTGCGGGTGCAAAAGCGAAGACCAGAACAGCTGTCCAGAGGGCAAGCCTGTGAGCACCTCGGCAGTGAGCTCGGGCACGGCCGGGTCCCTGAGCTCTTCCTGGGGCCACACAGAGCCATTCCGTGACAGCACTCTGCAGGGACTTCTGCTTTGCCCTCGTGGGGCCGATGGCCAAACGTCAGCACTTTTGCCGACCAGGGCAGGGACCCACGGGCACTAGTCAGTCACAGAATCTTCACCATCAGGAAGGACAGCTTAAAAATGCCGGTTTTACGCACAGACACCCTTGATAAGAACAATCCCTGACTCGATTACACCTTGTGCCTGCCTCCATCTGCCTGCAGCCCGGGATGCGGGTGTCCCAGGCTGCACAGTTACGTGTGTGACATCCCGACGACACGACGGAGCGAGCACCCTCCTGACAGGGCAGTGCGTGGTGACCGCAGGATGCGCTCCAGGCCGCGGGACGGACGGTGGTGTGCGGGTGCTCCAGAGCGGTCGGCAGCTCTTTCCTTGAGGTGAGCACTGAGCTTACCACTCCTAGGAAAACAGCAGACAGGGCTTGTTGCCATTGATCAAATTCAGGAGTTTGGGGCCAGCAGTTGGAATAATGGCTGCATCACTGGACTCCCATGTAGCTGACCACAGTTCGCGTCCTGGACCCAGTGACTTAAACTCACGCCGGACACGGGGGCGCGTGTGCGTGTGTGCCCAAGATCCTGAGAGGAGAATGGAGGAGAAGGGATTGCAGCGTGGCCATCCCCCCTGAGGGGTGATTTCTCCCTTTCTTTCTCTCTCTGTCTCTCTCTGGCAAGCTCACGTGCCCTACAGCAAAAACCTCTCAAAAAAAAAAAAATTAGGTTTTTCAAAGGGAAATTTGAATTTTGGAAAATGGGTGTCCCTACCGTGAGGGAGACGACTCCCTGGTAGTTTTCTGATGAATAGACAGCGATGCTGAGAAATGTGATTTTTAAAAAATATTGGATAATGCAATGTATCAATGCCCAGAAAATCTGCATAGGTCGGTGAAGAAGCGTTTTCCCAGTGGCCCACGGGGGAGGTTATTGTCAGGCGTGGGCCAAGGGGCTGGGCTGACGATCGGACACGGCGAGCAAAGAAATGACCACCGCGGGCGGAGACCCTCCCTGCAGCCCACGC